TTACGCTTACGGTATCCTAAAACCGCTACACCAATGAATCCGTGTTGAGAATATATAAAGGCCGAGAAAGTAATTGCCTTTACTTCACTCAGATCAGTGAGTTCAATTGTAGGCCTGCACATTGTACCCACTCATTTATAACGATATTATTTATAAATTGCCATCTTGTCAAAAGTTTTACTTGAGAAAGCAAGTGATTCTTTCTCATTAAAAGCCTTATAGTCGCTTCCTTCAATTCTACCGGATATTGTTTGACAGCTTTCAAAATAATTTTATAATTCCAGAATCCTAAAATGCTACCAAAAGTGTTTTTCTCGTATTTCAAATATTTAAGACTTGAATTGAACAATAAATACCATGTGATCAAATTTGACCCGGACCAACCTATATAAACAGCGCACACAAACCGAATCACTGCGGATTATCTTTTACCTAGATTGGTAGAATCTTTTTTTATATTCGTGTGAAGTTTAATCTCCATATGTCAATTAGAACGTGTTTGGCAGCTGTTTGTTTAAAAGTTTGTTTAAAACGTGAACAATTTGCCTGGCGATTTTGTACCATTAAATAAATTTAGTAATTAATTTGACTGAATTTTAATGCTGCCAATGAAATAGTGTTTAGAGAATCGATGAAACTATTGGATGTTTTGGAGAACGCAACAATTCACTTTCGTGAATTTATGGAAAACAGGAAAACATGACATCGTGCGAGTCGTACATCCACCTCTGTTAATAACAATAACATCAAAAATGTTAATGGAACAGTGCTTGAAAATCATCACGTTGCCATCTGATATATCAAAAAATCTTAACACTTCTTACCCAAAACATTAACCAAAATCATTGTGTGTCAATCACATAAATAGCAAACGATCTTAGTCATAAGAAGTACGTTATTTCTCTGATGGACACACGATGTTTTTGGTTAATGTTTTAGGCAAGAAGTTTGGCTTTTACAAAAGCGAACTCGAGTATAGATCGCCAAAGAGATGCTTGAAAACGTAGCTGAAGACCCCATAATCATCATAACTTATGAGGAGGAGTAAGTTCATGAATATGATTAATGCGAATGGCGCTCCAAAAATTAGCTAAAACCAAAACAACTAACATTAGCCGACGCTTAGAAGTATAGTTCATTTTAGTCTTGAAGGTGAGGGGAAAAATTTGTTTTGATATAACTGAATATGTTTTTGGATGGAAATTAAATTTCTAGCGACAAAAAACTCTCAGTTTTTTATCAAAAATTTACATTGTACAGTTAAAGACACTTTTATAAACTACTTTCAAACGGACACCTCCTATATGGGAGGAGCGACCATGGACAAACTTCAACGCCCTGTTATGAGGACAGCTCCTATAGCCAGACAAAAACACTGCGACTGGGTGTCCGGTTATAAGGAATTTTACATTAAAAGCATTTTAAAAGATTTTAAAAGAAAACATTGACCTTTAAATATGTTAATCTTACAGATGACAATGATTACAATGAAATTAAAAAAAAACCACAAGGATTCAGACAGGTAGAAGAAAACAAAAAATCCTAAACAAAACAAAAAGTTTGTACTAAAGATTGAGGGATCGCATGGCTCTAACCCTTTTAAATAATAAGCAATGTAACAACAACAAATGATCAGCTCTAGGTATGCTTATTAAACATAGATAGAAAATAAAAATATTTACTATATTGTTTTGTGCTCCGTTATTACAATCCTCACAAAAAACAATAATGGGTAAAAAGTATTGCAGACTACTTGAGTTGATAATCAGTGATCAAGTTTTGGGAGTAATAAAGAGTAATGAGATGAGAGAGATGATAACAAAGCCGAAAAGAGTATTTCAAGTAGTTAGAAATGTACCAACAATGTACTTTGGCCTTGGCTTACATTTACGACTTGCCGTACAAGTGCCCTTCCTTTACCTTCATTTACGCATCATATTTACTTTTCTTTTTCTGAAGTATTTTTTATTTTGTTTACCTTTGCTTTTGATTTTCTGTTTCGGATTTACGCGCTAAAGACAACTGAAATGACAGCGCGTCATGTCAGTGTTATAATTTCATGATCCTCCACCATATTCGTTTATAAAAACTTAAACGCCATTATACGCAAGTAAAACTTATATCAAATTCGGTGTTAGCTACCAATATTTTATTTAAATTAACGCCGGATTCGAGGAAAGAATATGGGCGCCAGACAACTTCGCCTGCCGGGCGAAAGCTTTAAAGTAAATTTACCAAATACTAGAAACCAACTTCCGATTAATACGTCTTTGCCGCATCCAATATTGATAGAACAATCCAGAAGTTATGACCAGGATCTAAAAATGAAAGGTTTAATACCACCACATATAGCTGCTGTACCGACCCATGTGCTAGCGCCAAAGCGAAAAGCTTCAGAATGGGAGACACGTAGTTCACAGTTTATCATACCAAACAACCCGGACGAACCTATAAATTTGGCAATAAAACAACACCACCTCAATATGCCTGCAAGGAGTGAGAGTGAGCCGATCGATTTGTCAAGCCATGCTGTTGATGTTCCCAATGAAAATTCACTTTACCCTGCTTTGCATTGTGAGGTTACATATGACAACGATGTGGAGATGGAAGCAGCACCAACTAAACCAAATAAACGCAAGTTATCATTGGACAATAACGCGATTCAGGAAGAGCCAATTTGCTTAACAAACTACACGAAATATTCCGTCGTCAATTCGAAATACTTGCGCAYCAACAAAGCATCTGTGGTACCCATAAACTTCAGCAGCAAAGTAGATAAACCTTCAGCACCACGACCGACACTGACAGCCATCGCAGTTGARAAAACGTTTAAAATCGTCTCTGATAGTGCTTCCAACAGCGACAGCATTAGCTTCGGTGGCGCCGTGCGCGAAGCATTCAGAACAACATGTGCCCAAGAGAAGCAGATCGAGCTCTATAAAATAGCGCATAAGATTACGTCAAAACAAACAGAGCCAGACGATGATGTTTATATCGAACTTGGACCGGAAGGTACACTTGTTCCATTGAATGAATTCAAGAAAATTGATTGGACAAATGCCATKGAAGCGACACACGATTTGCTTTCGCTTGTATTTCCAATGCACGTACTTGAGACCCATGGACTTAGCCGCAAATTTACGCTACCGGAACTGGACTATGATTGCAAAATTAGACCACATTTGGACGATGACAAAGTTTACGACATTAAGGACTACGTTACGCAAAAGACAAAGATGAGCAGTGAAGCTTTTACATACATTGTCGCAAGGAGACTTTTGAAATTGGCCAAGGSAAAAGGATACAATCCCTTCGAAATATCATAATATTGTGGGAAATATCATATATAGTATTTTATATAAAAAAACGTTTAATTTCATGTAAAATTTATACGTAAATGTTAGAAGGTGAGGTAGAAACAATTTTTTTTTAATAATGTAAATGTAATTTAATATGGAATAAGAAAATATCTGCCAAAAAATACTCTTTGTATTTTATATAGCTAAGATTTCTGGGAATTTAAATTAAGTTTTTAAACTCCAGAAGAACACACCAGAGACCCTTGAAGTATATACAGTGTGACAAAAGTTAACCGTAAGAAATCCGTTTTGTATGACTTTCGACCTCTTCAACTGATAAAAATAATAAAAAAGTGAGGAATATSGTATTTGAAAATCGTAAGGTAAGTGCTAAAGAGATGGCACATGATTTCGACATCGCTCGCGAGTCCTTTTGAATAATTTCGGTGGATATTTTGGGTATGAAACGCGTTCTTGCTCGACTTATTCCAATAAAGTTGAATACCATGAAATGGTCTCTTTGACATGCTCGATCGTTCAAATTCCGATACCTCATCCATGAAGAGTATTATATATATATTTTTTTAAGTAAAACACGTATTTTTCGCAAGTTTAAAATATTTTTATATGAGAAAAAATTAATAAAGAAGGATGTTTTTATTTGTCTAGCTTTTTTAATTTTACACATATAGTCAAACAAAACATATTTACACCATACTACTCTCTTCAATGCCTGCTAAGCTAAGAGCGAAGTAATATTCACAAATTGCTAAATGTTTACTATGCCTTAATCATTAATTTATTATTTATGTACGTTCGCATCGTTAGTTTTAACGAAAGCTCTCAGTTTCGCTATATGCTCAGCCTAAGCAGTTAACGAAATTTCCGTTAGTATGATTGCCACATGCATCTATTTGAGTGTATGAAAGTTAAAAAAGTATCTCTTTGGAGTAACGAAAATTTTTTCAAACTTTAAGCGAAAAGGAAAAGTGTTAGTTGTTGTGAACTTCAAAATTAAATGGCATTCTATAATGACTGAAATTTATAGATTTACACATACATAGATAGATTTAATTTAGAAGTACCAGTATTTTCTTTTTTTTTTAATTTTTTTAAGTAGTCTTTCAGTTATAGAAAACTTCCCACTATATTTAGTATAACTATCAAAAAAAAATCTTAAAAGCTTTGTAACCCCAATTATGAATTATTTTTTCTTTTATTTTTTCTTTTACAAAAAATTTAAACTTTTAATAGTCAACTAATTTGTAGATAAAATGAACGACAAATAAATTCATTATTTTGTTACAGTTTTTTCATCGAAGGCAACAAAAATTTTCACTTCATGTAATACATATTTCGTCTGCCAACACTGTTCTATCAGCATTTGTTCAATTTATATGTTCGCATTGTTTTTGTTGTTTAGGAGCAACCGTTTTTTATGCACTTTTACAATTCTTGCACTTCATTTTTTCCTCTTCCCATGTTTTCCTGCGCTAAACTTTAGCTTTGTCATGTGCAGTCTCTCGTGATCGGTTAACATTACCACACCCACCATCTGTCCACGTTTAATTATGTATTTGTGAAAATTTTCGTCAAAAACTTTACGACTTTTAATTTCACTGTTGTTTATGTGTTTTTAATGAAAAACAATATTAATTAAATTTATTATAAAAATATTAAAAACTAATTATTAAAAAAAATAAAAAAAATCAATAAAAATAATTTAAAAAGGAGCTTATTAAGGTAAGTGCGTCACCAAAATAGTAACTAAACCATAAGCTTGCTAAAAATTCTTCTTCTTGATTCGCGTAGACACCGCTTGTGCAGTTATATAGTTTGCCAAAACAACAAATCAATAATTTTAGTTTTATTTTCCTTTGTTTGTAATGTCTGTAGGGTTATGATAGAATTTATTAGCTAAAATTTGAATATGAGTTAGTCATATCAAATAGCATGGGAAGTAACAGCTCTGTACATACAGAGATTATTTGGCTAACAATCATCTAAAACAATAGCAATATCTGAAAATACTTTCGCCTTTCTTTCACAAAAGTGTGTTGAGAGATTATTTGTATTTGAGTATGAAAATGACATTAAATGCTGTGAGCGCGAATTTATAATCCGGTAAACATTTTTTAAGGTCTTATGCAGATATTATAAAATTATGCTAAAAACCACTAACATAACTTTTCTTGTAATTGAAAATTTTGCAGTCCGCTATTCAGTACATTAAGCACCGGTATTTTTTATTTAACTGCTACAACTGTACCCGTCACAGTATTTTTCTAATATGCCGAATTTGCAGTTATAATGATACGTACATAAATAAGGCAACCTCTCAGTATATTTTAAAGCTTAACTCATTTGAAGAATTAGTAAAAATTTTATTTGGCGAAAATGCTTGACCTACATAAATGTCTAATTCCGAAATTATCAATTACAATTATATAATAAAACCAATGACATAGATAAACTATAACAGTAAACGCCAATAGCCTGGAATACCAAAATAATAAAGAAAATTAAAAATTTGCAATAGTTGTTGTTCAAACAAGTGAAACAAAAATTCACAGATAAATACTTTCCATGGAAAACTTAGAGCATTCCAAATGCAACTTTTCAGGCTTGGATAATTCATATAAATATATAAGTATAGTATTTGTATGTGTATTCGAGAAAGGCGAAACGAAATTCTGATTAAAAGCACAAAACCAAAAAAAAAAATGAAAATAGTAGTATTTAAAAGAAAAAAAGTAAAAATGTTAGATTTTAACTATGAAAGACTCATAGATGTTGTAATATAGCCAGCTAAGGTTTAAAGTTTTCATTTTGTGTGTGTTCATATATTCAATACTGTTAGAAAATTGTAGTCTGCCTTCTACAAAATTAAATTCAAATAACAATAAAATATATTTTCTCTTCTCCCTTTCTTGTCAGAATTCTAAAGACTATTTTTTTTTTTTTTTTTTTTGTTTTTTGTAACTTCGAACAGTCTTTTCTTAATGTGCTAATTGTTGTTAATAGTTGACTGTACTATTCTGCAAAATTTTGGTGATGGCGTTTAGTTAGCTAAGTTTGTATGTAATGCATTGATTAAGAAATTTCGAGCGATCTCTTCTTTGAAATCACAGCCAAAATTTAAATTTTTTGAATTCGCAGCTTTACTTTCAATAAAATATATCGTTACTTACTTTTATGTATACCCAAGTGCAATAAACTTGACCAAMAATTTGTATACATTTATAATATGCTTTCCATTATTTAATCAATACTTTCCGCAAAATTACACTACTGATTCAAAAAATCACAAAACCTTCTGATTGGTAGCTGATCTGATCTTTCTAACGCCATGAAGCGTAACAACCCTATCGCAATCATTCAGAGCAGTTTACAATTAACTAAAGCCATCATTAGAAAAAAGGAAGATTTCTTTTTATTAGACCTWATCTTTTGACAATTTTCGAATACTAGTGAAATAACGGACCGATTTCACCATGCAAATTTGCCTTGTGTTCAACAGTAATCCAACAATCCCGGTTGTAGACTTTGTTTTTCAAATAACCCCACAAAAAGTTTGTACTATGGTGGGTAGAATCAAAATATCTTGGTAAGCAGTTTTTGCTAAATCATTCAGATGTCAAGTGAAGATTTTGAAAACAATAAATGTCAAACCCGGACATACTCGTTCACATTCATCGATGTGAATTTCCTCAAATCYTTTCATTTTGTCTGAATGTTATAGAGTACGCCTAAAAAATTTGTATCAATATCTACTAATTTATAGAGAACTCGAAGAATATCAACGGAAATAACTTTCCGATTTACAATAAAGTGTGTCCTAGATTTTGAACTTGTCACACCTTCAATTACTGGATTTCCCACCAGCAAGTCAGTCAGTTTGGGCAGCCCTAGTATCTGAATAGGTATGTCATTATCCATTCCAGAGATAAAATCTACAATTATATTACTGAATACAGGAATCACCTCACGACTTAAATGAGAAGCTACCCCGGCATTAGATCAGCGCCAGTTTTCAATGATACTCATAAATAGTAGTTGGWAGCAGAGAATAAGTGTTTCATACACTATGGTCGCAACACTAAGTAGAAAATGTATTGGATTTACTTTATATTATGAACTTAAAATTCTAGAAATTCAATCGACAAATAACAACAAACGCGCAGAAGGTATAATCCAAGATATAGKGAAAATTATCTCGAGTCTGGAGAATAATATGGTTGAGACATGTGTATGGCTTCCTCTTCGGTAAAAGTTTGAGGGCAATTTGTGAATCTAATATAGTAGTAAAGAGTCCAATAGCCAACAAAAATGTGGGCTCATGATGGTTATAATTTTTTCTATGGGGCATGTTTTCAGGCAACATGGGCATCGCTTAATTGTCCAAAGCCTTTGACATATGTACATACTTTTGTGATTATTTCAAGCAACTTTCCATGCAATGATAAATAGGTCAAGTATCTCTCCCACTCTTGATTATCTTGATATCCCTAATAATATTATATAATATTGACTGCTCAGTAAGATTTTCATTGAATCGGCGAATCAGCGATGAATACAGCTCTCAGTAAAGCTCTAAACATGAACGACTTATTGTAAGCTTTTATAGGATTGCAGGAGTTTTCTATGAAGAAGAATGAAAAGATGTGGCACTAAATCTAAATCCTATAGTTGAAGATTTCTRCAATAAATGCCTTAAATGCTTGCTTAAAAGGAATAAAATTTGCTATTTACGACTGTAGTAMAATCTTATCTAGAGCTAAATCTTCAACGAGAAACTACACAAAATAAAATAGRTAATTCTTAATTAAAGATAAAATAAACTTTTTTTGTCAACTTTAAACAATCGACTGTAAATTTGAGCTTTTAAACAGATCAGATGACATTACAAGACTTAAGTGGCTTCTAAAAGGGTACTTTTCATAAGAACGTGACTTAAAGTTTCTGYATACACGTTCGAATAAGACTTAATGAACTTTTTATTACATGAAAAATAACAGCACATTTTTCTTATAAAAGAATTCGCAGTAAACTTTCAAGCAGAAGCTTAAAGTCTCCCAGTGCGTCTGTAGACACAAATAGCTTTGAAGCTTTTATTGCGTTTAGAAGGAACTACATATGCGCAGGCATTGAAAACAAATCTCGCATACACCTGCACGAACATTTGTCTGTGCGCCTGCTCGACTGCGAGAACTCAGCGACGAACAACAGAGACGCGCATTCATAAATGTCAAGCTGAAAGGCAGCGCAGCAACCAACATTATGTTGGGCTTAGTTTGGATTGAGCTGGAGTGGAAGCCAGCAATTGCAATAATATCAACAACACAAATAAATTGCAAAATGCATAGGCATGATGGATTTACGAATGCATGTGTGTGTTGCTACTTACTGTAACTGTATATATATACCTGAATGTAAATATATAAGTATATAGAAGATATTGTCAATGCGAAAGTGGACCAGTATTCGCAATATTTTTAAATTAGTGTGTTTGTAAGGTTATCTCATCGCGTTTCTGATATTTATATATATTCTGACTTACAAAGAGCGCTGGCAATGCAATCGCGGCRGTATTTCTGCATACATACTAACACATATTTGTTTCTTTTATGCCATCCGTTTATGCTTTTATATGAAATCAAATAAAAGCGCTGCCGCCCTCGCCGCCGCGTCGTGCGTCGTCAGCAATGCAGGCAAGTAGAAGCTTCCACAGTGGCAGAGACAGTTGAAGGAAATTTTAATGGACTGTGTTGGGTTTTTATTTGCAAAATAGCATAAAAAGCTCCAGCTTACATACAAACTGACAACTGGCTTCCAATGTAGATAGCTAAACATATGCACGCAGTMCGCTATAAACGGTCTTGTAATGGCGGTGTGTGTTTCTAATGGCATAACGTTAAATGCTTAAGTGCTTGTGTGACGGCAGCTCCTCCTAACGGAATGGGGTCTGTACAGTTGCTCAAAGCTAAGGGAATACGCCAATGTTTTATATTATTTGTTTGTGTTAATGACATTTAATAGCATATAACCATGGTATTAAGCACAGAAGTGTGTTGTTTGTAATTTTTAAGAATATTCGAATTTTTAAGTCATTAYCTTACCTTTAATGAAGCAAATAATAGGTTTTCAAAAAAGTCTTGTGGTATTTTTGCGGTATTGAATTTTCAATTGTTCATAACATTTTTTTTTTTTTTTTTTTTGATGACTCATGCCCAGCCCAACATACTGATGCTACGGCTGCTACTATGCCGGTCTCTCTCGACCAATTCAGCGATTTTATCGCAATTTTCGATGACAGGCCTTCTAGAGTGTGGCGCATCTTCGACCACCTCTACGCCAGAACGAAAACGTAGAAACCATCGTTGTGCGGTGGAAATGGAAACTGTTTCGACTCCATAAACTGCACAAATTTTATTGGCGGCTTGAGATGCATTTTTGCCTTTATYGTAGTAGTACTGTAAAATATGCMGTATTTTCTCTTTATTTTACTCGCGAACGACTTDAAAGAAACGACAMTCAATCAAACACGTGTTAGCGCGTGAAATGAGCTTTCCAAAAAAGTATAGCATGACCCGATGCGACGAATAACACTAGAACTACACGCTCTCAGCGACAGCTTAGCCAGCTTTTTTTAAATGGTTCAAATTCGTTTGATAATGAATGCTAAGTTCCTTAGCGAAGTCATGGCTGCTTATGTGACGGTCCTGGTCAATATTTTCCATAAT